ACCCAGAAATAGTACCTCGGGTTAAGAACTTTGCTTTGGGATGAGAACAGAAATTGTGCTCCGGCGGCGCAGTGGCAGCGGGAGGCCCCATTAGCTAAAGTGGTGCTTCAGTTAAGAACAGTTTCAGGTTAAGAACAGACCTCCGGAACAAATTAAGTTCTTAACCCGAGGTACCACTGTATTGTCAGAAAATTAAGGGTCTTTTGTTCCAACTGGTCTGGGCCCCAGCTCTGTCAGCATCTTGGATGAATGGCAGCAGTGATTTGTGGTGCTGCAAAGACACACACCCTTCCGCCTTTCCTTTCCTGTAGCTCTTGACTTCTTTGTCCCCCCCCCATCTTGTTTCTTGCACTCACCTGTGCACAATGTTGCCAGGCTTTTAATCTCCTCTGATCTCCTGTTTAATCCTAATTAGCAATTAAGGTTCCATTAATGTTTTGTCCTGCTTTCTATTTATACAACTGGAGAGGAGAGGAGTAAAGTCCCATCTCATCTCTTCCTTTTACTCTCTCTAAAGAATGGGCTCACCCTCCATCCTGACAGGGCAGTGGCTCATAACCCCCCCCCTCCGAACCTTCAAAGACTTGCCTGACCACTCCGTGATTTTCCTGCCTGTAGGATCAGTTGCAAATGTGCTGGATGCTGCATTGCTGCATGATTGACAATTGTATTTTTATTGCCTTTTTATTTCTCATATATTGTATTACAATTTGAATTCCATAGAATTAAAAATGTGATACAGTAAAATACAGCATTTTTTTTAATTAAATTAAAAATGTGATACAGTAAAATACAGCATGGGACGCGGGTGGCGCTGTGGGTAAAACCTCAGCGCCTAGGACTTGCTGATCGCATGGTCGGCGGTTCGAATCCCCGCGGCGGGGTGCACTCCCGTTGTTCGGTCCCAGCGCCTGCCAACCTAGCAGTTCGAAAGCACCTCTGGGTGCAAGTAGATAAATAGGGACCGCTTACCGGCGGGAAGGTAAACGGCGTTTCCGTGTGCAGCTCTGGCTCGCCAGATGCAGCTTGTCACGCTGGCCATGTGACCCGGAAGTGTCTGCGGACAGCGCTGGCTCCCGGCCTCTAGAGTGAGATGGGCGCACAACCCTAGAGTCTGGCAAGACTGGCCCGTACGGGCAGGGATTACCTTTACCTTAAAATACAGCATATGAGAAATAAAAGAAGCAATACAAATACAACTGACAATCAATATGAATATTTAATACAATGGTTGAGCATTCTTTCATCTTCAGTGTCAATTCTGCAGACCACAGAATTAAGCTTGAAGATCACAGTCTGGGAACACCTGTGACAGGGGACTGTCCTGCCTATGAAGGTGATCCAAATACAGCTGTCAGCAGCAATATAGGACAAAGAAAGCGAGGGAAGTTTTTAAGCCACAACCACACTCTTGTTTAAATGCAATTTCCTGGATATTTCTCATAGTTAGGCACATCAGCTTTCCAATGTCACCCTGTCCCTGCTCTCAGCAGAGCATTGCTCTTTATTTCGTTCCCCCTGCTGGGTGCTCCAGTTGGACCTTTGCCCTGACCTATACACTCAAGTGATATAACAGCAATTTACTCTGGAGCAGCAATGGAAGTGACCCAGCCCAGCTTAATATCTGCAATGCAGGAATCACAGCTAGAAAATCCTCAAGAGACGGCCATTCAACCTCTCTTTAAAAATCTCCAATGGAGGAGAGTACACAACCTTCCAAGGGACTTTAGTTGAGATTCCTGCATTGCGGGGGGTTGGAGTAGATGATCCTTGGGATCCCTTCCAATGCTAAGATTCTATGGTTCCATGAGTCTGTTCCACTATCAAACGGCTCTGAGGGTCAGAAAGTTCTTTCAGATGTTTAGTTGGAATCTCCTTTCTTGTACGGTAATTTGGATCCATTGGCTTGGTCCCTGCCCTTAAGAGCAGGACAAAACAAGCTTGCTCTCTCTTCCGTGTTGTAGCCCTTCAGCTATTTGGCCCATCACAAGGAATATGGCCAACCAGAGTCTATTAAAAAGTTCCACTTCATTTTGCCGTCTTCACAAAACTTCTAAGTCATCAGTGTGACCATCAACATGTGGGATCCGTACCTATTGAAAATATCCTTATGACTGCTTGTTTTCCAGACTCAGCCACCATGATTCTTGATGCTATATCCACACGATTCAGATGCCCCCTTACCATTAAGTGAGATGTAGTCATTTATTGTAGTGGCTTCTTCAGGTGGAAAAGTTAAGAGGCCGTGCCTTGTTACGGCCTCCAACTCTGTGTCATTCAGGGAGTGCATTGCGGAGCACTAACCAGGACACTCCAACATATTCTTCTTTTTCTCCTACTTGATTTTCTGCCCCGGCCAACATTCAGTCAGCATTAGGGTTGCCATATTTTGAAGACAAAAAAGAGGACACATTTGTGCCACCGGCACTGCCACGTTGCCCTTGCACTCTTCCTCACACACTCAGTTACACACACACACATACATTGCCCCCCCCGCTGAGAATGGCAGAGCTGCCACCAATGCTGCTTTTGCCGTCCCCTACTCCTCCAGAGAGATTCAGCCTGCACTTCCCTCGCCATGAAGCGGGCGGCAGGGCTCGCGGAGGGATTCTGGGATTCCTGGCCCAGGGGAGCTCGGTGCTGTGAACCTGGAGAGATGGCGCCAGGCAAGGAGCTGGGGGGACCGGGGCGGGCAAGCAGTGAATAGGTGCATGCGCTGCCGCCCCCCAATACAAGTGCCCCAATACATGTCTGCACTCCCCGCCTCCCCCTAACTATGCCACTGCACACACACACACACACACACACACACACACACACTGCCCCCCTATTTCCCCCTCCCCACTACCTTGGTCCTTGGGCAGCTTCCCAGCCAGTTTGAGGGCACTGGGGAGGGAGACAACTGCATGCATATGCTCCCTTGGAATGAAAGAAAAATACCTGGACATACTTGCAAATTCTAAAAATTCCCCCAGAGATTTTTATCCCCTGGAAAAAAGAACGTATCCAGGAAAATCTGGACATATGGCAACCCTAGTCAGCATTCTGTGCACACTAAGCATTCTCCATCCTGACAAAGCCACTGAGGTGTGTGATCCCCTTTGCATTTTTGGTCTCCTAAACATTTTTTGCAGTTCTACAAACCTTTGTGTTCCTTCAAGTCTACTGACTCCTCTCTTCCCCCACCCTACAGGAAAGAGTTATTTATTTCTTTTTACATGCAACTTGCTATTGTTCAATATGTTGGGAGTCAGAAACTCCTACCAACAGACCTATACCTCTCCTCTCTTTTGAGTGTTGATGACTTTAGCTGCCACCATTTTGTGACAGGTTCTGCCCCTGCACGGCCATTTTGCGACTAGAGGGCCTGTTAAGTCTGTGCAGCCATCTGATAGAGGGGGCTGTTGCATTCCTCATTTAGGCCACAGTGCTCTTGTATGTCCAGTGAAGCAATCTTGGAGGTGCTGTTTACCAACATGTCCATTTGGGCTTCTGTCAGTTCCTCATTTTTTCAATCCATGTTTCCATATCAGTTTGAATTTTTTAAAAGCCCTTATGAAAATTCATTAGCATTTTAATTCAAATTTCTCCTAATATACACATTTTTTACAAAGAAGTTTCTCATAGTAGAATGCATTTTTATATATCTTCACAAATATATGCATTTATATGCATACTTTACCCTAGCATATGCCTTTTAGGACAAGTTCTTTGGTTGGAGAACTGCATTGCAAAATTCAGAGAAATGTGGATTTTGAATCAAATCCCCGTGCCTCCCGCATAGCCCCGAAACATAACTGCTGACTTATAGGTTGCTTCTCTGAAACCCACATTCCTCTTCCTTGGAGCTGACTTTCATACTGCCTGGTTAAACCTCCTGTGTAATAGCAAAGGTATGGAAAATGGACATGGCAGGGGCAGTCATACATGCTGTGCTATTCACAGGAGTGAATGAAGCCAATTTGTTCAGTTATTATGACCAGAATTCCATAAAAGAGCTGGATTTTACCAGATTTTCAGATGGTTTTTCAAAGTGTGGGTGCTAAACACACACACACATATTTGGAATACTAGTTATTATTCATTTAGTTAAACATATCAGATATATATATATAATTTTATTGTATACAGAAAAAAAGGAAATAGAAACACTTGAGTGTCTGATATGTTTAATTAAATAAATAATAACTAGTATTCAAAAACTTCACTGGAGTCTCAAAGTATTCCCAACAAAGTGTACGGATTTATGTTTTCTCATACCTTATTATATCTCCCTATCACCAGATGGGACTAAATCTTTAACACAGCCAAACAAAAGAGCTAATATGTGAAGACAAAGAAAGATCTAAAGGGTTTGAGACCTGGGTATCTTGAAGGACCGCCAACGCTTCCTGATGTTATGCTTATCACCTGAGGCCCTTGTTGGAGTCTCCCCCGACCCCCTGCCTTCTGAAATTAGGCAAGTAGTGACAAGTAAGACGGCATTCCCAGGTGTGGCCCTCTGAGTGCAGAACACCCTTCCAGGGAATCCCATCTGACACCAAATCTGGTGTCTTTCTGTTGCAAAGCTAAGACATTCTGCAACATGTTATCCTCAGCATTAGTCTGGCTTAAATTCCTTTTTGCTGTCTTATTGCTCTGTTTTCTTCCTTCCTTCCTTTCTTCTTTCTTTCTTTCTTTCTTTCTTTCTTTCTTTCTTTCTTTCTTTCTTTCTTTCTTTCTTGTTTCATTTATTAATTACATTTATATGCATGCATATTGTGGTTTTTCACTGCTCTAGTTGTGTTAACTCTATACTGTTTATGATGTTTATGGTCTGCGAACCAACTACACTAAACTACTACTAGTATTGCATTTATAGTCTGCTTTCCTCCAAGAAGCTTCTCCTACCCATTTTCTTCTCCCTGTGTCATGCTCCCGTCCCAAAGCACGACAACGGTGGCTCTTACGTGAAACTAAATATAGATATTTATTCAGGCTAAGAAATGTGCAAACTCGGCAGCAGGATTTGAGTCCAAAAGTCATGGTCCAAAGGGACACAAGCAAGGCACGAGATGCAGAACTGAACAGCACCAGTGAATATGTCCCAACAGTCTCCCTCATCTCCTCCCCAGCTTTTGAATACAAGATGGGGCAAGCTCACTTACAAGGCTCTCTTCCCATGAGACTCCTGCATGTTCAAATGTACACTGCTTCTGGGTGAGTGTGTCAGATTTCACCTATGGAAGCAATGCTCCTCTGTCTCCATCTCTGCCTCCTCCCCCTGTTTTGCTCCTCACCCTGAATGGGTGAAATACTCCCCCATGCTCTTCCCCAATGAGGTGCTACACTCCATAGGAAGGGTGATGAAGAGAGACAGTGGATCTGCCTTCCCCCTCCCCAACATCTGGAGTCATAAGGTGAGGACCTCCATTCTGTTTTTAAGTCTCCAGCCTGTTTCGTCTTCTCCTCTTCTTTCATCTGTGGTTTATTTATTATTTCATAAAATTTATACATAGTTTGATTGTTAAAAAACCCCTCAAAGTGGTTATGAAAGGAAGACAATAAAATCAGGGTGGTATGCAATGAAAGCCTTACTCAGAAGCAAGAGTTGATAGCTGAGGCGTGTGAACTAGATCAGTGTTTCCCAACCTTTTTTGGGCAAAGGCACACTTGTTTCATGAAAAAAATCTCGAGGCACACCACCATTAGAAAATGTTTTAAAAATTAACTCTGTGCCTATATTGACTACCGTATTTTTCGCCCTATAGGACGCACCGGCCCATAGGACGCACCTAGATTTTGGGGGGGAAATAAAGGGAAAAAAATTATTCCCCCCCCCAGACGCGGGGCTGGGGCGGGAGAAGCCCGAGCTTCCCCCGACCCCAGCCCCCAGAATGGGAGCCAGAGTGGCTCCTGGAGCTTGCGGGACTGGGGGTGGGGGAAGCCCGAGCTTCCCCCGCCCCCAGCCCCCAGAAAGGGTCCGAGAGCGATGACAAAGGTGAGCGCACCTTCGCCATCACTCCCAGAGCTTGCGGGGCTGGAGGTGGGGGAAGCCGGAGCTTCTCCCGTCCCCAGCCCCCAGAGCAGGTCGGAGAGCGATGGCGAAGGTGCGCGCACCTTCTGCATCGCTCTGGGACCTTGCGCGGGCTGGGGGCGGGGGAAGCCGGAGCTTCTCCCGTCCCCAGCCCCCCGAACGGGTCGGAGAGCGATGGCGAAGGTGCTCGCAGCTTTGGCATCACTCTGGGAGCTTGCGCGGCTGGGGGGATAGCTTCCTTAAGCCTGGAGAGCAAGAGGGGTCGGTGCGCACCGACCCCTCTCGCTCTCCAGGCTTCAGCGAAAGCCTGCATTCGCGGCGATGGGATGTGGGAGGGAGCTCGCTCGCCGCCCCGCGTGTGCTCGCCGCCGCCGCCCCGCCTCTCGCCGCCCGACTCGCCCGCCTCCCTCCCACGGCACACTAGGCAACGTCTCACGGCACACTAGTGTGCCGCGGAACACCGGTTGGGAAACACTGAACTAGATGTTAGAAGCAGGCAGAAGTCAGAGAGAGAAAGAAAAAGGGAGGGAGGGAGGGAGGGAGGGAGGGAAGAAAGGAAGGAAGGAGATATCATAGAATCATGGAACTGTAGAGTTGGAAGGGACCCCAAGGGTAATCTAATAGAACCCCCTTGCAATGCAGGAATCTCAGCTAAAGCATCCATGGCAGATGGCCACCCAACCTCTGCTTTAATATCTCCGGGGAAGGAGAGTCCACCACCTTCCGAGGGATCCCATTCCACTGTCAAATGACTCTTGCCATCAGAAAGTTATTCCTGATGTTGAGTTGGAATCTCAGTTCTTGTAACTTGAAACCTCTGGTTCCCTCCAGAGCAGGAGAAAACAAGCTTGCTCCATCTTTCATGTGACAGCCCTGGAGATACTTGAAGATGGTTATCATATCTCCACTTCTCCACAGTCTCCACTTCTCCAGGCTAAACATACCCAGATCCCTCAACCATTCTTCATAAGGCTTGATTTCCAGACCCTTGATCATTTTGGTTGTCCTCCTCTGCACACTTTCCAGCTTGTCAACATTGTTCTTAAATTGTGGTGCCCAAAATTGGACACAATATTCCAGGTGTGGTCTGAGCAAGGCTGAATAGAGTGGCACTATGACTTTCCTTGATTAGGACACCATACTTCTGTTGATACAGTCTAGAATGGCATTAGCATTTTAATTTATTTATTTATTTATTTATTTATTTATTTATTTATTTATTTATTTATTTGCTCCTGCATGCATCACACTGCTGACGCATGTTGAGCTTCTGGTCCACCAAGACCCCTAGATCCTTTCCACATGTCCTGCTAGTAAGCCAAGTGTCCCCCATCTTATATTTGTGCATCTAGTTCTTCCTGCCTAAGTGCAGAACCTTACATTTGTCCCTACTGAAATTCATTTTGTTAGCTTGGGACCAGTTCTCCAATCTGTTAAGGTCATTTTGAATTCCAATTCTGTCTTCTGTGGCATTAGTTACCCCTCCCAATTTGGTGTCATCTGCCAAATTGGATGAGCATCCCCTCAAATCCTCCATCCAAGTTGTTTATAAAGATGTTGAACAACAACAGGCCCTGTGGCACCCCACTTGTCATTTTTCTCCAGGATGATGAGGAATAATAATAATAATAATAATAATAATAATAATAATGATGATGATGATAATTTATTTATTTATACCCCACCCATCTGGGTGGGTTTCCCCAGCCACTCTGGGCGGATTCCAACAAAATATTAAAATACAATAGTCTGTTAAACATTAAAAGCTTCCATAAACAGGGCTGCCTTCAGATGTCTTCTAAAAGTCTGGTAGTTGTTCTTCTCTTTGACATCTGGTGGGAGGGCGTTCCACAGGGTGGGTGCCACTACCGAGAAGGCCCTCTGCCTGGTTCCCTGAAACTTGGCTTCTCACAATGAGGGAACCGCTAGAAGGCCCTCGGTGCTGGACCTCAGCGTCCGGGCAGAACGATGGGGGTGGAGACGCTCCTTCAGGTATACTGGACCGAGGCCATTTAGGGCTTTAAAAGTCAGCACCAGCATTTTGAATTGTGCTCGGAAACGTACTGGAAGCCAATGTAGGTCTTTCTTTTTTCTTTTTTTTTTTGTTAGAGCATTTATTAATTTTCCAATAAAAAAATCCAATTAACATATCAAATCATAATCCAATAAAAATAAAAAATAAAATAAAAAGATCAAATTGTCTTCCAAATTGTAATTTTGATTTTAATTTTGATTTATCGGCTTCCCACAGTCTGAACCTCAAAGCATATCCAAATCTCAGTCCTGCTTCTCATCGATATTTCCATATTTCCATATCTCAATTTTATCTCTCCAGACTTCTTTGCCTCTGGCTCTGCGATCCTCAATCATGTCAGAAAACAGATAACCTAGGCGGTCCAGAAGGATGTTATGGTCGATTGTATCAAAAGCCGCTGAGAGATCCAGCAGAACTCGGAAACAGCTATCACCTTTGTCTCTAGCCCACCGGAGATCATCGACCAGCACGACCAAGGCAGTTTCAGTCCCATGATGAGGCCTGAATCCCGACTGGAAGGGATCCAATTGGTCTGCTTCTTCCAGGTGTGCCTGGAGTTATTCAGCAACTTTGGTTTTGGTCCTCCAACCAGCTACAAATCCACCTAACAGTTACTTTGTTCAACCCACATTTTGCCAGCTTCCTCACAAGAATAACATGGGGGACTTTCTCAAAAGATGTTTGATTTCTGTTTGAATCCAAGGCTGCAGTTATGGGGAAAGCAAGACTCCCTTGGGGCCTTCATGCTGTGAACCCCTCCATCACAGGCTCAGGTTGTATATATGTTTAATGAAACATATAACATAAAGACCCCCCAGTTTCCACTGTGGTTCATTCTAAAGGAAACACAAACCCAGAGAGCCCTGGAATCTTGCATTGCTCGGAGCTTGGGGTGGCATGCACAAGATGATTGTCGTTCTGCTTAAGGAAGCATTTTGTGGGGTTTGTTTTGGCCTTGGCAGAGGACAGGCAATTCTGAGGCATATCGCTTTGTGGCACCATGGTTGGTGAGTCCATGGTGGGGTGAAACCTTGCCTTCAGTGATGAACAGCTATCTCCGGCTGTAGGAAAATTGGGCCAAAACGTCCTTTGGCCTAGTTAGAAAAATGGGCCATTAGGAAATTGCAAGGAAGGACCGTTCTGAGAGGGATTAGCTGAGCTCTTTTGACTCTCTAATCACCCTTCCATGCTCATCCCTCACCTGAAGTGTCCGGCAAAGACACCCATGGTGACGCAGGGTACGCGTGAGTCCTTCATGCCATGGTAAATGGGGGGGGGGCTGAGACAGGGAGGGGGCCAAATCGCAGCCCAATTAAGGGATAAAACATTTAAGGGCTTTGGGGATCTTGTGCTCCAAGCTGGGTGCTTAATCCACCTGGGGGGGTAGGTATATAAATGAGTATTTGTCCTGGACCCTGGCACAGACAAGCGGATGGGAGAGACTGAGCGGTAGCGAGGGAAAGAGAGAGGAAAACAGAGAGCAACAGAGACAGAGAGAATTTATAGGAAAGAAAAAGCAAAAGGGAGGGAGTGGGACAGGGCAGCAAACAAGTGCAGGTGGAAGGTGGGAAAGAAGGCAGCAAAGGCCATGACAGAAGCCTGGGATGTGGCTGTATTTGCTGCCCGCCGGCGCAATGAAGATGATGATACCACCAGAGACAGCTTGTTTACTTACACCAACAGCAACAATACTCGGGGTGAGCCCAGCAACAGGGCAGCAGAAATGGGGGGGGGTGTTGAAAGCCTAAAATTGGGGATTAGACATGGGGGTGCACTGGGATTTAGTTGAACCTTGATAGAGCAGGTGATGCAGCAAGGGGGGTGGTTAGTTGGTTACAAGCCTGTCTAGGGGACAAGTGTTCGAAAAGTGGAATTTGCCCAAGGTTTTTTGGGAAAGGTTCTGGAAAGTTTTTGGGACTAGACAAGGAAGGGTTCTCAGCTGGTCCAGGTGGAGGTCTCTGTGTGCAACTAGAGAGAGGTGTGACCTTATCCACTTTCCTGGTGTATGACTTGTGAAGGGGAAGGACCCTGTACGGTCTGCAAGGGAAGGGACACTAAGAAAATATGGGAAGATGCCTTCCCAAGTCTTGGTACAGTAGATTCCTGATGGATTATCTTGTGAGGCAGGCTGGGATCCCTCCAACTCCTAACCTTTTCCCTCCTTCGCAGACCCTTTCGAAGGTCCAAACTATCACATTGCACCACGATGGGTCTATAACATCACTTCTCTCTGGATGATCTTTGTGGTCGTTGCCTCAGTCTTCACTAATGGTTTGGTATTGGTGGCCACTGCCAAATTCAAGAAGCTACGGCATCCACTCAACTGGATTTTGGTGAACTTGGCAATAGCTGATCTGGGTGAGACAGTTATTGCCAGCACCATCAGCGTCATCAACCAGATCTTTGGCTATTTCATTCTTGGTCATCCCATGTGTGTGTTGGAAGGATACACCGTGTCTGCTTGTGGTAAGAGGCCAAGGGATTTCTTATTTACAATAATTTCTGCTTAATGCTCTGCCATCCTATTCCTTCCCCATGTTATCCCTCCTGGCTCATATATTTACCCCCATTTAATCACAAGCCAGAGTCCTGTTGTCTTCCAAGATCACCACACTCTTTCCACCCTGCTTCTCCTTGTCAGGAATTTATGGGGTAGAAGGAATGCCAGCCCCACCCTTATCCCTGCTTGTCTTCCTCCTATGAATTCTGTGCATTCCAGAACTCTTTAGCTATGGTGTTTAGCAAGTGCAAAAGTTTGATCTACAATGCCCTCAACTATGATTGTAGTTGCTGAGAAAGCCAGGCAATGGGAGATGAAATGGGACAGTCCCAAAGTCTCATGGTAGAATCCATACTCCCTTTTTGTGACAACTGCGCCCTCTGTTCTTTCCTCTCCCACAGGCATAACAGCCCTCTGGTCTTTAGCCATTATCTCCTGGGAGCGTTGGGTTGTTGTCTGCAAGCCCTTTGGAAATGTCAAGTTTGATGCCAAATTGGCCATGGCTGGCATTGTCTTCTCCTGGGTGTGGTCTTGTATCTGGACAGCACCACCCATCTTTGGCTGGAGTAGGTGAGTGTGAGGAGAGACTTGGACCGGCAGCAGCTGTGGAGAGAAGCAAGTAATGTAAGCACATGTACATAAAAAGAAGGGCTGATGATGGGGACTGGGAAGGTTAGACCCTATTCCATTTCAACTGTGCTAGCAGGACAAGTGCCACAAGCTTTGCCAAAGTAACACAGAACTGTTCAAGCCAGGCAATGTCCACTGAGAAAGATTATAGGGAAAGAAGAGGTCATGGAGTTCCTTGCTGTGAGAAAATCTGCCCCTTTTACAGTCCGTGAGATATTACATGTAGCTTTTGGCATGGGGAAATTTTCCTGGGGTTGTGAAGCTTAAGTAGGGTATTCTATTCAAGTACTGCCTCAGGCAATGGGCATTTATGTATAAGGCTTAAAGCAGTTTGTGTCAATCAGCTTGTCAGAGGAATGTTAAAACTACAGAATGGTTAGAATGTTTATTCATATCACAAAGGCCACCACTCCATGTGTGTAGCCAGGATTTGTGGGGGGGGGGGGAGAACCTCAGTTAGCTATGTATTTTTTTATTCCCCCCTCCCACTACGCCCTTGCACTGCTCTGTTTTCTCTTTTGAACTGCTCTGGATGAGAGACAGTCGTTCTCTCATCAAATAGTGGTGGAAGAGACTCAAAGGTGATTTAAGTCCTGTTTGTGAAAATGGTCTTCCTCTTTCCTCTCCCTGTCCTGCAGGTACTGGCCCCATGGTCTGAAGACATCATGCGGTCCAGATGTATTCAGCGGCAGTGAGGACCCTGGAGTTCAGTCTTACATGGTTGTGCTCATGATCACCTGTTGCTTCCTCCCACTGGCTGTCATCATTCTCTGCTACCTGCAAGTGTGGCTCGCTATCCGTGCGGTGAGCACCCACCCTATCCTAGGACCCCACCTCTGCATGCCCTGACTCTCCCTCAGGCTCAGAACAAAGCTTCACACAGGAACAGTCACCCTTAATCCTGCCCCTTTTGCTGATTCTCCTATTTCTGAAACTGCATCTCTCCCAAACTTGAGCTACCATACCTCTGGGATCTTTGTCTGCGATCAAACTACCAATTGCTAACATTCTACCATGCCTTCATTTTACTACTTGCACTGTGGAATCCCCTTGTTCACATTGCAACCAACAGTAGAATGTTCTCTCCATAGCTGCATGCCAGACAAGACCCCACAAATATAGTGGGATTTTCATTTCTGTAGCAGACCCCCCTCTCTGCCCCTGCTTAATTTCTTGGTGAGCTCCTGTTATCCAGATCCAGTTGGCACCCCCCTCCTTTCCACTGGATTCCTTCCCTTTTCCATGGCTTGCTGTATATTGCTTGTGAGAAGATAGCCTGGTTGAAACATACCTGGATATAGTCTCCCATGAGACCTTCTCTTGTTTTACCTAAACCAGGTTTGTTGCAGGTTGAATCCCTCTCCATGTTCTGTGTGTGGGAATAATCTAAACACCATCTTTAATCTCACCTCCTCTTCCTCTTGTACAGGTTGCTGCCCAGCAGAAGGAGTCGGAATCTACACAGAAAGCTGAGAGGGAAGTATCAAGGATGGTAGTGGTTATGATCATCGCCTATTGCTTCTGCTGGGGACCATATACGATCTTTGCCTGCTTTGCTGCTGCCAACCCAGGCTATGCCTTCCACCCCCTTGCAGCTGCCCTGCCTGCCTTCTTTGCAAAGAGCGCCACCATCTACAACCCCATTATCTACGTCTTCATGAACAGACAGGTAATCTACTATATTGCAAAATGGAGAATTAAGAGGCTAGCCAAGATATTAAAAGTACTGAAAACCAGAGTTGTAAGGGAAGGGATTTATGGACAGAAAACCCCATGTAGGATGAATGGCCTTGTAGATGACGCATGTTGTAAAACTATACACACTGGAGGCATGTAGAACTGCTTGCCAGTTCTGATTAACCTTGTCTCCATTTCCTCCACGCACTTGCCCTCTCTCTTAGAATCATGGAACTGTAGAGTTGGAAGGGACCCCAAGGGTAATCTAATAGAACCCCCTTGCAATGCAGGAATCTCAGCTAAAGCATCCATGGCAGATGGCCACCCAACCTCTGCTTTAATATCTCCAGGGAAGGAGAGTCCACCACCTTCCGAGGGATCCCATTCCACTGTCAAATGACTCTTGCCATCAGAAAGTTATTCCTGATGTTGAGTTGGAATCTCCGTTCTTGTAACTTGAAACCTCTGGTTCCCTCCAGAGCAGGAGAAAACAAGCTTGCTCCATCTTTCATGTGACAGCCCTGGAGATACTTGAAGATGGTTATCATATCTCCTCTTAGTTTCCTCTTCCCCAGGCTAAACTTACCTAGCTCCCTCAACCATTCTTCATAAGGCTTGATTTCCAGACCCTTGATCATTTTGGTTGTCCTCCTCTGCACACTTTCCAGCTTGTCAACATTGTTCTTAAATTGTGGTGCCCAAAATTGGACACAATATTCCAGGTGTGGTCTGAGCAAGGCAGAATAGAGTGGTACTATGACTTTCCTTGATTAGGACACCATACTTCTGTTGATGCAGCCTAAACTAGTATTAACCTTTTTTGCTCCTGCATCACACTGTTGACTCATGTTAAGCTTGTGGTCTACTAAGACCCCTCAATACTTTTCACTTGTACTACTGACAAGCCATGTGTCCCTCATCTTAGTGCAGGTGGTTCTTCTTTCATAAGTGTGGAATCTTACATTTGTGGAACCTTACCTCTTCCTTTCTCTCCTGCAGTTCCGTAACTGCATATTGCAGCTCTTTGGCAAGAAGGTTGATGATGGCTCTGAGGTCTCCTCCACTTCCCGCACTGAAGTCTCCTCTGTCTCTAATTCTTCTGTATCGCCATCATAAGAGCCCCATGCCTGGATGGACACCGTGACAGAACTCTGCCTCCCAGGAGAGCCCCAGTGATTGTGAGCCTCCCCTTCCTTCTGTGCCGTATGGATTCCCTTTGAGCATATGAAATACTGGCCTGCCATCTCAACAGATCCTCTCCTTTCAACTTAGACTGTGCCCCAGGCTGGGGTACTGCTGTTTCTCCTGTGGTTGGGGGAGGGAAATGTTTCTATTTTTCTCCGAGAATTGTTTTTGGATGGGGGTGAAGGATGCAGAATTCCATGCTCAAATATACCAGCATTGTGCACCTTTCCTGGGACATCAGGGGTTGCTTGGACACTCCTTCTCCTCAGCTGTGATCCTTAAGTAGTCTCCCACTTGTTACTCTGTCTCCCAGAAGGGAGCAGAACTAAGGGGGCTCTTTGTGGGAAGTATATAGCTTTTGTAAAGCAACTCTGTCCAAAGCCCTTCCTTGAAACTGCCCCGAAGACCACATATCCCAAGTTCAACGCACTGATTCCTGTGGATGAATGAGTTGGTGGATGTGAACCAATATAATTCACAATTTGACCATGCAGCACCTATTTTGATTCCCTTTGCTCTGTCCTTCCTATAAAAAAAAATATCACTGGTACCAGAGAGTGCATCACAGGGGTGGACAGGTGAATAAAGTTTGTCCTCCAAGGTGTCTGTGCCTCAGCAAGGTTGGGTGTATTGAGTTCTAGCTCTGTCTAGGAGCTGACGTAATTCTAATGTGGGACAGAACCACGGAGAATCAGCACGAGCCACCTTGGACACCACTGAGGACTTAGTGCTTCTCCCCAACATGGCTCAACTGGAACCTTTCTGTACATAGTGTTTGATACTAAAGCCTATTGTGTCCCTGGGACATCTAGCTAGAAATGCAATGGGGGAAATGGGGGAAAAAACAAACAAAACTGACTGCAGCAAGAAGAATGAGATAGAGAATAAAGATTTTTAACTTCTGTATAAAAGCTCAGTTTTTATCCTACAAACTATGTAACAAAACAGTGTTTGATGCATGGGAAGGGGGTGCAATAGTTGCCAGAGTAATAACTGTGGAGAGAGGAGAGTAGTTTTCGTTGCTTGCAGGTGCAATCAATCAATCAATCAATCAATCAATCAAGACAACCATGAGGCAAGGTGAAGCAGTTGCCTCTGGCAGGAGGGTTTTCAGTACTATTAAGACTTGAAGAATGGGGGAGAAGAGATCTAACCCACCAGGCACAATCCATTGGAAAGTTCTTGTGTGCAAATTCTATTGACATGAGCAAGAGCTGAATATGAAAAGCACTGCCATGGAGAGTGCCTTTTGTTAATTAGGGGGTAATAAGATGCAATTAGGTTTTTCTACCTCAGGACAAGTTCCATTTGTGTGGGGTTTTTTCATACTCAAGTCAGCTTTCAGAACATGTGTGTCCTAGCTCTCTGCCTACTTCCTAATGAATCACCTTGCTTAGCATGGATACCACCACCCAAGCTCCTTACAGATTTTTGACCCATCTTGGATGTTGCAACCTAGAGTTAGGCTTGTCACCTGGAATGATTTTTCAGTTAACTATCACATATAGCTTGGCATAGCCACAGGGAGAAATAGACACGTGGGAAAGCACAGGGGAATAGGCTCTTAATTTTTAATTAATAAATAAACAAACAAGTAGTTAAATAAGCATTGAGAGTAGGGAGTGTTGGAGAGCATCAGGATGGATAAGGAAATTTGTGTGCCATTTTGTTCTCTGCCTACCAAGCAGAGGGAAGCCATGTTCTCCATTCCTGTTCACGAATGACAGGGAAGTACTTCCAGGCAGCGCTTATGATGACAATCACAAGCAGAGTGGCCAGGGCACGCCAGCGAGTGCGCAGGAGAGGAAGGGAACAGGCTGAAATAGTGGAAACACACACCAAGAGAATGGTGGCAATGGTCAGCAGCAGGTTTATGAGCTGTCCATAAAGTTTATACACACTGGCCTGGGGTAGCTCCATTGCCTCCTGTTGCTGGGCTTGCTGCTGCATTTCGAGTTTGGACAGCCGGGTCTGGTAGGAGTCCAGCACCTCCTGGCAGGGGTACAAGGAGAAGGTATGAGGTCCAGATCAGATCAGGTTCTAGACCACCTGTCCCCACAATGGCTGGTCTTTCCCTCAGATAAACCTGTTTGGGTTCCCACACCCTTATTTCTCGCCTGGAATGTGCAATTCTTAAATTATAATGCTATTCTTTGATGGTCCTATCTTATATCCTGTTAGCAATCTCAGTTTGCCAAGTGCCAGTTCTTAGGTAGTCAAATGGCACAATGCTCATACAAAAGCAAGCTCAGGGAGACCCCAAGGTGTGCAGAAGTAGTACACAAAAATATTTGGTGAACATAAATTGAGGAGGGGGGCAAAACAGCCCAATGTAGTTCAAGCACATTCTGTAGCAATAGAGTGCTTACTGAGAGATGGGAAACAGAAAATCATTGGGAACAAGGGTGCCAACTTGAATAAAATATTGTGGGGACCCAGGTAAGCCCCACCCTGCATAATCAATCACATGAGGCAGTGCATGCAGACCATTTTAATGGGAATGCACATCAACTTTGTGGGGGGCCAGCCCCCTCAAATATTTTATTGTGGGAGCCAAAGCCCCCACAGCCCCTAGGAGCTGGCTCCTGTGATTGGGAAGGGGACTGAAATGGAACATCCTGAATGGGAGCATTCTCCACTGTATAATTTTGTTATAGGTCCCATAGTCCATGTGATAATGGTGTTACAATATATGCAAGTGAAATACTTGCCAATAAGGAACGTATCAGCATAAGGGTAATAAAACCATCCACTGGCCAGCTTGAACCAGTACACACCCACCCACCTTGGGTATCACTCTACAAAAAGGTCAATGCCACCCCACCCTCCAATATTCTAAGCTATATAATTAATATTGACCTGAATCCTCTGAGCTTTCTAGCAATCTACTTGACATAGGCAATACGACATGACATCCCTCTGGAAACACACTGCTGCATCTAAAGCTGACTGTTATGGCCTACCCCATAATGTAATATACCTCATTGCCTCTGCATCCACACATTCTGTCATGACCAATAACATGAGGATCACTCCACTGTCCTACTCGCTGCCCTTCATAATAGTGCCATGCATACATCTTGGGCTCCTAGACATGGGAGCTCCTTACCCAGATGTCCCGGGACCTCTCATAAGACTGATAGACCATTTTCTCCTCCGTGCATGCCAGGTCATGTTTGAGGTTGGTGATCTCATTGAGATTTATCTGTATCACATCATTCACCTGCACTTCGAGATGGTAGTACCTGGAGAAGGGTGGCACAGTCAAGGAGGGCGGAGTGAAGTTCTGCCGTCTGGTCCTTTATCCCTTGCTTCCCTCTTTGCACACCCCCCCCCCAAGCCAGCTGGCTGATCTTATTACAGCCTGAGCTTAAAACACTGCTGGTAAATGGATTATGATTGAGTTGGCTCTGTTCCCTCATTTGACACTTCCAGTGACAAGACACAGGTGAGCAGTGAAAGAGAGATGGCCATGATTACCCAGCAGACTCAAGGGCACCAAGTAGTGTGTGGTAAATATTAGGGCGCTGAATCAAAGAAGAGTGAGAAGAAACACTTCTGGGTGTCCTTGAAGATCAGGCCCCACGTGAGCATGTTACCAGGATAGTTTGACACCCAAGAATTGGTACTGGGGGAAATGTGATCCTGGCTGTGTTGAATTTGCTGTTATGCTAAGTATTCTATAGAGTATAGAAAAAATACCAGGCAGGTTGCTCACTGCTAAAGTGGAATTGTCGGGCGGGGGGGGGGTTATCAAAGCAAACTCTTCTATAACACTGTCATTCTATTTGAAATGACAAATATGTTTACTAGCAAATCAAATGCTAGCTCAGCCATCAGCCTTGCCCCTCATCCTATGCATCAGATGGATTGTCTACTTTTCTATTTTTAAAAAAGTGTTGCATAAGCAGTTCATTCATTACCTTATTTTTTAAAAACTTTTTTGAGACATCACTGGCACAGCCAAACAATATTGTGTTTCTGCTTCAGACTTGCCGAACATTTTCCCCACCCAGAGCTTAAGCTTGGAGGAAAATAGGCACATTTGCATCAGCTGCCATTAATGTGCTTTCAGAATGTCCATTGCTCTAAAAATGTGCCCTTTTGTGAAGGCTAGGTCTCTCTTCTTTGAACTGAAGACATTCAGAATTCCTTCATTTCTAAGGACATGATAGCTCTTCCCTTTTCCTCATTACAAGAAAACTGGGACCTTGGTTCCCATGTAATGTAACTGCAGCAGAAAAAGCATGGAGATCAGAAGGAATTGGCAAGCTAGATCCTGTACCGTGGTATAAGTACAGTATAAGCTATGGGGGGAAAGGGGTTTGCTTCTGTGCCTCTGTGTGAATCAGCGCTAGTTCCAGGGTTTTTTTTGTGGGGGCCAATTCACACTCAATGCACCCCTCTCCAAAGCATCACTGTCCAGTTCTTTGCCCTCCCCCTCTGTTTCCAACCCACACAACTACCCAGAGGCAGAGCACAAGGGAAATGGAGGTTGCTTCTCCATCTCCTCACTCTTGTCAATGCTGGCATGTTTGGAAAGGACAAGATGCACAAGCAGAAATAACTAGGAGGAGCATGAGCAGGGTGCTCCAGAGAGTGGGCAGTGGGCCACCTGCAGGAGTGTGGACCTCTGCAGGTGCCCAACAATGTGCTGGCCCTGGTGTTAATGCAGATGGAAAAGGAAATGTGGCACACAGTTCAAAAAACCCATGTATCCAGTAATAGAAGTCTGATCACATTCCTTGGTGGGCAGTCTTGCGGCCAGGCCTCAGACCATGCAAATGATCCAGTGAATGGCAGGCTCGATCGCCCGGCTCCCAGCTATTGGCCAATACCAGCAGTCCTTGGATGGGCGTTCCCCTGGTGGTGGGCTCAACCAGTCAATGGGAATGCTTGGGCCCACTCCCAGGGGGCGTTAAATTGCGGCCTGCCCAGAAGACTTCCCTGCCTTTTTTGTTGGATCCCCACCCCTTAATTTGATTGCTTTTACTTGTGCTTTCACCTTGCTATGGACCAAGACGGCCACCATATTCAGGGCTGGGCAGGAATTTTTCCATTTGGCAAATTGGCACTCACCATCTGGTTCTCACCTTTCTCATAGCAAATCACAACTTTGTAAGGCGGTTAGGAATTGGGTAAGCCTAGATCTTGGCTGGAGGAGAGGTTGCTGGAGGAGAGGCCTGCCCCCTTTGGGAAAGGGTATCCTGTTAAAAGGATCCAGGAGGAATGGTTCTGTCTGACATCTAGACAGGGGCGGGGGGATCACCACTCTTCCAAAGGGGGCCCTGTGGGGGGTACCCCTATTTGATATAGGTCAAAGGGCATTTCCCCCCTCCCCAAGATGTGATTTATCCTTTGATGCACTTCCAGCAGAGGCACTGGAGTGGAATAGTAACGGCTTTACCCAATGCTTATGCCAAACCATTATTTACTGTAACCAATTGTTACAGGCAAAATTGTTCAAGGCAAAAACCCAATACAGTGGTACCTTGGATTACAGATGCTTCAGGTTACAGACGCTTCAGGTTACAGACGCTTCAGGTTACAGACTCAGCTAACCCAGAAATAGTACCTCGGGTTAAGAACTTTGCTTCAGGATGAGAACAGAAATTGTGTGGCGGTGGTGGGAGGCCCCATTAGCTAAAGTGGTACCTCAAGTTAAGAACAATTTCAGGTTAAGAACAGACCTCCAGAACCAATTATGTTCTTAACCCGAGGTACCACTGTATGCTGTTGTCCTGTGTCATTTCCCTAGAGAACTGTGGGGTCATGGGGCCTTGGCACACAACTCTAGATTCTGGCCCTAACAGATCTTGAGCCACAGGCTCTGAACCTGTGAGACTGAGCAGGGGTCAAGGAGACAGGAGACCAGGAAACATCAAACCTGAGAATGGGGTGTCAGGAGATGGGATACTGGAGCCAACTGCCCTCATTAATGTGGGTGCCCACCTCTTCTTCTCCTCCTGCAGCAGTTCCATCATCTGTTGTTTGTCAGCCTTCCATGACTCATCCAGCTTGTGCCACTCATCCTCCAGGACCTTGTGGTCTTCTCTAAGATCAAGCAGCTGAGCTTTCAACTCTTGAACCCTCTGCTTGATCTCTTCCTCAAGGATTTGCTTTGAGGAAGCCTCTTGAGCAGACCTGTTTTCTTTGCTCTCCGAGATGGAAGGAAGGAGTTCCTCAACAATGCAAGTTTCTGTAGTGCGGTTTCTGGGTATGCTGAAGGATGGCTGGTGAGACATGCTGTTCCTGGGAGTGGTGAGCTGCTGCTGGGCAGGAGTAGCACTGCTGCTGCTGCTGTCCTGGCTTGTAAAAATCCTCTGTTCCAACTTCTTCAGCTGAGCCCAGGAATCCTGCAGACGCTGTTCTAGTTGGGCAATATTGGCTGAGGAGCGCTGGTTGATACGTTCAAAGGCCTGCCGGATGGAAGGTGCTTTCTCTCTGTCTGCCTTGCCCACCAGCTCCACATAGCATGAGGTATTGTCATCCCGATTGGCTTTCTCCACCCGCAGCATCTCAGATAAGTGGAATATGCGATGGCGTAGGACATCCTTTGGGTTGCGACTGCTTAATTGGGAAGTGGTAGAAACAACAGAGACACTGCGGGGCCGAGGGGGCTCCACCTACCACAGGGACGAGGTGGGGAGATGATCAGAGAAAGAGCCAATGACATCAGCTATGAATTCATGCTGGGTCCCCACTAGCTACATCACAAGACACTGAATTATACTTCATCTAGAATGCATTCTGCCATGGCCATTATTGATCTTTTTATCTATCCCACAAAGCACTCTGCTGTGCTTCCTCTAAGGACTGATACCATTTACAATTTTAATCATAAATTTAACAATACAATTAAAAATAAATTGGGCAATAATATTTGAATGTACATGATACTGCTCCAGTCACTTGGGATGAAGGACTGGGGTGCTGAACAAGAGACAGCTGACTTGGCAAGCACTCCTTGTAGGCTAAACAGTCACTCAGGTTGTTCACCACCAACACTTCCTGACTCCTTGATTCAAGCTAAGCAGGACTAACATCACAGTTCCTATTGAAATTATAGCCTTGAGCCCTGTTCACCATCTTCCATCCTCACTACCTGCCTCTCCCCACAAGGGGATTAGGCACTTATTCTTCATTGGCATTGGGGAGGGACCCAGGTTTAGTGAGTGAGCAGGACTTGAGGGGCAAAGCCTTCCTTTGGTCCCTGCTGACTGCATTGGTAAGGCATGAGAGAGAAATGTTTCCTGACTTATCCTGTCATGGGTCTCTGTGCACACAGTGACATCATAATGTTTTCTCCCCTAAAGCCATGGCAGGTGCAGCTCAGATAGTGGGCAGTTAATGTGTGGAACATGGGCTGGGGCTTTTAAGAGTCTCCCCAAGAGAGCCACATGCCCTGGGGGAAACCAGGCTGTATCTTTTGGTCACTCACTGAACTGGCAGAGTCTTCTGCTTGCTGAAAGGATTCTCCCTTGGTTGAATTACAGAGATCCACCATGGGTGCTGTAAGGAGACAGGCATGTGCATCAAAGAGCAATTCATTCAAGAAATGAAATTCCAACTAAACATGCAGAAAAACTTTCTGACGGTAAGAGTTGTTCCACAGTGGAACGGTCTCCCTTGTGGACTCTCCTTCCTTGGAGGTTTTTATGCAGAGGTTGGATGGTCATCTGTCACAGATGCTTTAGCTGAGATTCCTGCATTGCAGGGGGTTGGACTAGATGTTCCTTGGGGTCCCTTCCAACTCTACAATTCTATGATTCTATCTCATCCTGGACCCAAGCTAAGGGCCCCATGAGACACTGCGCAAGGGACAGTATGTGTCCACCTTCATCTCCATTACTCCAAGTCTGTATCAACATTGTCATCAACATCGTCATCATTATCCTTAATTATTAAATGAATATTAGACATTTCCCATCCCATTTGTTAAGTATCAAAAGCTTACAAACAAACACATTAAAAGCATAATAATATATTCTAAAGTTCTCCCCTCCCCCCAAAAATGTTTGTGATCAGGAACACTTTGGGGAGGACCGGGGGGCCCTGAATGCATGATTTTGAGGGGGTGTGAGCCAGGCAGCCTCCAAGCAAGGATCCCCACCATGCCTGTCACCGGAGGTCTTTGGGCCCAGGAGCCCAGCCTGTCCTGGCCTCCCCTCAGCTGGCCAGTGCTGGGAGAATTCATCTGCCAAGGGCTGTGTTGGTCGCCTGGGCTCCTCCTGCGTGGGTGGGTGGGCAGGTGGCGCAGCCTGGCCCCGTGAACCGTCTGTGCCCTGGGTGCCAATAAAGGACACAATGCCACTGTTTGTGATTGAAATGTGAACAAGTTCAATCCTCTTAATACAGGGATGGTGCACCTGTGGCCTTTCAGATGTTGTGGACTCCAACTCCCATCAGCTCCCCCAGTCAGCATGACCAATGGTCAGGGGTGATGGCAGTTGTAATCCAACAACACCTGGTGTACAACAGATTCCGCACACCTGACTTCATATAATGCAGTTTCCCCTTCCCACTAATCAATCCAAGAGCTCTGCCAACAAGACTTTTCTACAAGAGAATTTCCTGGTGCATTGTGCTTTATGTGTTAAGAGTTGTATGTCCTTCATCTTTCTGCCTGAGGCAAACACCTCATTTGCCTCATGGTAAGATCTCCTTTGAGTAGGGGTTGCATGTATATTAAGCAAACAGGTGTCTTGGAGGACATTTAGAGGTGGGTGTGAGGGGTGATGAGCCAGCACCTCAACCCCAAACAGTCAAAGTGGTGTGCCAACTTCCGTAACCACTAGGGATAGAAGGGAAAAGTCCTAATTAACGGAGGCCCCAAATATCTGAAAGTCTGCCTCCTCAGGTGTTAAGAAAGGCAGAGGGGGCTGTATTGGTTATTCCACCTGTGACATACTATCTCACTGAAGATGTGAACTAGGTAATGTGACTTATTTTCTCTGTGTTTAAAAGTTTCATCTCTCCCTGTTGACAACACTAGGTAGGCCTGTTTGTGGTAGTGTTTCTTTATTATACTACAGCCAGGTGTTTTACTTATGTGAAGGATGCTGTGTGTTCACTTATTCCCCCCCACACAGATTCAATTTAAGGAGGATGCACTTCTGGAACAAAACTAGACTTTTTAATTAATTACACTCATGGAGGTTGGAAAAGATTGTGAATTGAACCAACGCATGGTGAATTTGCTCTCACTGAATCCTTGCCGCAATAATGCTTGTACATCATTCTGATTACATAAAATACTTGGAATGTGGCAGATTTGGAATGTTAACAGATACTATGAAATGCCAAAAAACTTAGTGAATGCTAGGCCCAGACTAATTGGTTGTCATTATGACCTATATACTAGAGCCAAGGCTGTAACATAAATCAGTCTCTTTGGACAAAGGCCAAAATTTATGATGCGTCATACCAAAAAAAAGTACCGTACATACTGGTAAGTACTTGCATCATTGAGACATACACGTATCTACCACTAGATGGCAGATGACTGATATTAGCTGGCCATAATACCACGAAATTGCTATAATAGGCCTGAGATATTGCACAGCCATAAGCTGTTCCCAAGTAATCTGCCTAGAAGTCATGTTTCACCAGTTTCCAGCTGCAGACATAAAGTCTAGCTCCACCAGAATAATAGAGAGACTGTCTTCAGGCAGATATTGAAGTAGGTATCATAAATGAGGGTTGGGGGGGGGCAAAAACTACATGACTTGAGTTCATTCAATTCAATCAGTGGCGTAGCGTGGGGGGTGCAGGGGGGGCCGGCCGCACCGGGCGCAACATCTGGGGTTAGGGCAAATCCACGGATTAGGGGGCGCAAATCCACGGGTTAGGGGGCGCAAATTACTTGCCTTGCCCCGGGTGCTGACAACCCACGCTACACCACTGAATTCAATTACATTACATTTTGCTTTCTCAAAAGTTGCCTTGGGTTTCTGGTCAAAATCTCCCTAGGAAGCAGAGATTTGCAGCACCAGGACATTTTGCTATTAAAGCAAGTGAAAAGGTTTATATTGATAACCACTTATGATTTATCATCTTGGTAACCCAGCTTTGTGCACAAGTGTGCATACAGTAATTCTTTTTTTTCTTTTTTCTTTTTGGTTCAGTATCTACAGTATCTACTGTAGTATAAGAATAAAGTGCAGATTGCTCTCCACTTACAGCCCACTTTTTGAGGGCGATGTCTGATGCTGAACAGGCCTCCTCCATTTTCTTAGTTCACATGGGCCCTTTTACTTTCCACTAGAGAACAGCAGTAGCTTGAATTAGCCATTTGTATTTTGGACTCCAACTTCCTGGCCAGCATGGCCAATTGTTAGACATGATGGAAGTTGTAGTCAAGCAATATCTGGAGGGCCAAAGGTTGCAATAGGTTATTGTTTTATTATGTTAGTTGGCCAGTCATTTTCTGCACATGGGGTGCTTCTTGTCTGTGTCTTTTATAGGTTGTGCATAAGAGCGATGCTGACCAGGTTACACTTATTGAAGCATGTGCTACAGTCCATGCAGCCCTTGCAGCTGCTGCTGAGCTGGCCAAACAAGGCAATGGAATGCTGGGATATTTCCGCCCCCCCCCCTTGTGGAATTCTCTGATCTTTTGCTTCCTCTTAAGCATCTATATCCCTTTATAATCAAACACTTGGATGCTGCCACCATAACCTCCGATGCCATAGCCATCAGAGGCCAAATCACCACTGCTGAGGATCACTAGAGAATAAGCAACTTACTCATCATGTTTGCTTCAAAATGACTGGGGAATGAAGGTTGTGACTGTGGAACCATGGCACAGGATGCCTGTGAAGAGAAACTATTCAAGACAATTCTGGTTCATCTTGCTTTTTTGATGACATGTTGTGTCTGCAATTGCCAGTTGTACAAGTGTGGCTATATGTTAGCACTGGAATATCACCACTCTTCCAAGTGCCCTGCAATTAAAAAAGTTAAAAAAGTGGAATGCCTTCCCAAAGGAGGTGAATCAGTCTCCTTCACTGTGAACTTTTAGGATATATTTAAAATGATTCCTGTTTACTTGGCCAATTGATGGCTGAAAATTCTGTCCCTAGCAACTCTGTTATGATTAGTTTGAGTGTAGGTAATTGCTTTTAGGGATTTTAAACTGTTTTAGAAGGTTGTTTTAAACTGTTTTTTTAGTTGTGCACCATGGACTCTCTTGGTGGATGGCTGTGTGCCTACCCATGTGCTAGGACCTTAATAATAATCTGCCAGATCTATCAGCAAAACTTGGGTTGTAGGGATTTCCCATCAACAGGCTAGGTGGCAGCAATCCCCACTGATTGATGCTAGCCTGCCCCCATCCTTCTGACTTGATCTCAGGAGCATTATGTTTTGCAGGCAGGGTGGTTAAGTACTTGCACAAGCTTGGGCTTATTACCATCTGAGTATTCCTCCTTCGGTTTGGCTAGGTCCCTGGTTATTGAGGAGACAGTGCCACCACCACAAAGTTTGCTCTCTGTGCTTACTTGTATCTACCTGATGTCCCTCTCCAAGAGTTTCCCCAAACAATTTATTGACAGCACAGGTTTGTCTTCTACTTGTGGGGAGAACACTGCTGCTGCTGCTGCTACAGTTGTAATAATAATAATAATAATAATAATAATAATAATAATAATAATAATTTATACCCCACGCTCCCCAGCCAAGACCAGGCTCAGGGTGGCTAACACCAAATATAAAAACAATTGGTTGAAATACAGCTTAAAAAACCAGATTAAAATACAACATTAAAATTTAAGATGCAGCCTCATTTCAGTGGAAACTCAAATCAAAAACTTTTTGGGGATGATAATGTCAAGTCTTCACCAAGGCTAACTATCCAGACAGGTCCTATATGGGCCAGAAAAAAGCCAGGGAAGTCCCCAAATAGGAGTTCCAACACAGAAGGGAAAGGAAAAAAGAAAGAAAGAGAGGGAGGGAATCAAATTGGCTCCAAGCCAAAGGCTAGGCGGAACAACTCTGTCTTATAGGCCCTGCGGAAAGAAATCAGATCCTGCAGGGCCCTGGTCTCATGAGGCAGAGTGTTCCACCAGGCCAGAGCCAGTGATGAAAAGGCCCTGGCTCTGGTTGAAGCCAATCTAACTTCCTTAGGGCCCGGGACCACTAGGGTGTTGCTATTTATGGACCTTGAGGCTCTCCGTGGGGCAGACCGGGAGAGGCGGTCCCGTAGGTACGAGGGTCCTAGGCCGTGAAGGGCTTGAAAGGTCAAAACCAGCACCTTAAATCTGACCCTGTACTCCACCGGGAGCCAGTGCAGCTTGAAAAGCACTGGATGAATATGCTCCCATGGCAGAGACCCCTTGACGAGCCTCGCTGCAGCATTCTGCACCCGCTGGAGTTTCTGGGACAGTTTCAAGGGCAGCCCCGCATAGAGCGAATTACAGTAGTCAAGCCTGGAGGTGACCGTCACATGGATCACTGTGGCCAGGTCAGGGCGGGAAAGGTAAGGGACCAACTGCTTGATGCGGCGAAAGTGGAAAAATGTTGCCTTGGTTGTTGCTGTAACCTGCGCCTCCATGGAAAGGGAGCATATTGCTTGAAAAATGTTGCCTTGGCTGTTGCTGTAACCTGCGCCTCCATGGAAAGGGAGCATATTCAAGGGGTCAAGGATTACACCTAAACTCTTAACGGAAGGCAATGGCACTAACTGGGCCCCCGCAAGAGAAGGGAGTTGGTCCCTCATCCCTATGCCATCCCGACCCAGCCAGAGGACCTCTGTCTTCGAAGGATTTAGTTTCAATCGGCTCCCACGAAACCATCCAGCCACAGCTTCCAAGCATCTGGTCAGTGTGCAGGGACGCGGACTTATAAAAAATATTGGGGGGGCCCGGGAAAGCTCATGAATAATAAATAAGCTCATGAATATGCAAATAAAGTGGCGCCGCCTCCTCGTGAGCGAATAGGGGAGAGCGTGCTGCGCCTATTAATCAGCTCCAAAGGAAATTGGGTGGAGCTTTTGCTCGGGAGGGAGGGCAGGAGGCATGCAGCCCGCCCCTCCCTGTGCATTTTGGGCTGGGGGAGGGGCGGCGATGGCGCTCTGCTGGAGGGGCGCCGGAGATTATTGGGGGGCAGAGCCCCCCCAAACGAATTTTTGAGGGGGCTCGGGCCCCCTCAAGCCCATGGAGTCGGCGCCTATGTCAGTGTGTCCGGGGCCGAGTCGGTGTGACCATCCATCAGCAGATAGAGCTGAGTGACATCAGCATATTGGTGACAACCCAACCCAAAACTCCAGACAATCTGGGCAAGGGGGCGCATAAAGATGTTAAAAAGCATTGGGGAGAGGATTGTGCCCTGCGGCACTCCACACACCAAGGAGTGGTGTGACGACATCTCCCTCCCTAGCACCACCCTCTGTCCCCAACCAGAGATAAAGGAGCACAGCCATTTTCGGGCTATGCCCTGTATCCCGTCAGCAAGGCGGTGGTCCAGAAGATCATGATCGACGATGTCAAAGGCTGCTGACAAATCTAAGAAAATCAGCAGCCCCGACTCGCCTCGATCCAGTTGTCTACAGATATCATCTGTTAGAGTGACCAGAGCTGTCTCAGTCCCGAAACCAGGATGGAATCCGGACTGAAATGGATCTATGGATGTCAAACTCAGCCAAGAGCATAAGGTCAAACAGATTCCTCACTGGCCTTGCAGACAACCTCATTGTCCAGAAAGTGGGAGAAGCAACAAGAGGAACAGCCATTTTAGATCTGGTCCTAACCAATGTTGATGACCTGGTTAGTGGGGTAGAAGTGGAAGGATCATTAGGCGCGAGTGATCATGCTCTTCTGAAGTTTACTATACAGCGGAAAGGAGCAGCCAAGCATACTAGGACTCAATTTCTTGACTTTAAGAAAGCCGACTTCATAAAACTTAGGGAAGTGCTGGGTGAGATCCCATGGACAGTAATACTAAAAGGAAAGGGAGTTCATGATGGCTGGGAGTTTGTTAAGAGGGAGATAGTAAAAGCACAACGTCAGGCAATACCAATGAGACGGAAACATGGAAGGTGCTTAAAGAAGCCAGGGTGGCTATCTAAAGAACTTTTAACTGAGTTAAGATTAAAAAAGGATGTGTACAAAAAATGGAAAAGGGGGGAAACCACCAAAGAGGAATTCAAACAAATAGCCAGCACGTGTAGACACAAAGTCAGAAAAGCTAAAGCACAGAATGAACTCAGGCTTGCTAGAGAGGTTAAAAGCAACAAAAAAGGCTTTTATGGGTATGTTCGTAGCAAAAGGAAGAACAAAGAAACAGTGGGGTCACTCAGAGGAGAAGATGGTGAAATGCAAACAGGGGACACAGAAAGGGCTGAACTCCTCAATGTCTTCTTTGCCTCAGTCTTCTCCGATAAAGAAAACAATGCCCGACCTGAAGAATTTGGAGCAAATGATTCAGCAAAGGAAACACAGCCCAGAATAACTAAGGAGATAGTACAAGAATACTTGGCTAGTTTAGATGTATTCAAGTCTCCAGGGCCAGATGAACTGCATCCAAGAGTATTAAAAGAACTGGCAGATGTGATCTCAGAACCACTGGCAGTCATCTTTGAGAATTCCTGGAGAACAGGCGAAGTCCCGGCAGACTGGAGGAGGGCAAATGTTGTCCCTATTTTCAAAAAGGGGAAAAGAGAGGACCCAAATAATTACCGCCCAGTCAGTCTGACATCAATACCAGGGAAGATTCTGGAGCAGATCATTAAGCAAACAGTCTGTGCGCACCTAGAAAGGAATGCTGTGATCACCAACAGTCAGCATGGATTTCTGAAAAATAAGTCATGTCAGACTAACCTGATCTCGTTTTTTGACAGAATTACAAGCCTGGTAGATGAAGGGAATGCAGTGGATGTAGCCTACCTTGATTTCAGCAAGGCATTTGACAAGGTGCCCCATGATATTCTTGTAAAGAAGCTGGTAAAATGCGGTCTTGACTATGCTACCACTCAGTGGATTTGTAACTGGCTGACTGACCGAACCCAAAGGGTGCTCATCAATGGTTCCTCTTCATCCTGGAGAAGAGTGACTAGTGGGGTGCCACAGGGTTCTGTCTTGGGCCCGGTCTTATTCAACATCTTCATCAATGACTTGGATGATGGACTCAAGGGCATCCTGATCAAATTGCAGATGACACCAAACTGGGAGGGGTGGCTAACACCCCAGAGGACAGGATCACACTTCAAAACGACCTTGACAGATTAGAGAACTGGGCAAAAGCAAACAAGATGAATTTTAACAGGGAGAAATGTAAAGTATTGCACTTGGGCAAAAAAAATGAGAGGCACAAATACAAGATGGGGGACACCTGGCTAGAGAGCAGTACATGTGAAAAGGATCTAGGAGTCTTGGTTGACCACAAACTTGACATGAGCCAACAGTGTGACGCGGCAGCTAAAAAAGCCAATGCAATTCTGGGCTGCATCAATAGGAGCATAGCATCTAGATCAAGGGAAGTAATAGTGCCACTGTATTCTGCTCTGGTCAGACCTCACCTGGAGTACTGTGTCCAGTTCTGGGCACCACAATTCAAGAAGGACACTGACAAACTGGAACGTGTCCAGAGGAGGGCAACCAAAATGGTCAAAGGCCTGGAAACGATGTCTTATGAGGAACGGCTAAGGGAGCTGGGCATGTTTAGCCTGGAGAAGAGGAGGTTAAGGGGTGATATGATAGCCATGTTCAAATATATAAAAGGATGTCACATAGAGGAGGGAGAAAGGTTGTTTTCTGCTGCTCCAGACAAGCGGACACGGAGCAATGGATTCAAACTACAAGAAAGAAGATTCCACCTAAACATTAGGAAGAACTTCCTGACAGTAAGAGCTGTTCGACAGTGGAATTTGCTGCCAAGGAGTGTGGTGGAGTCTCCTTCTTTGGAGGTCTTTAAGCAGAGGCTTGACAACCATATGTCAGGAGTGCTCTGATGGTGTTTCCTGCTTGGCAGGGGGTTGGACTCGATGGCCCTTGTGGTCTCTTCCAACTCTATGATTCTATGATTCTATGATTCTATGATTCTATGGATCTGAAATGTTATATGATTGACAGCTTTGCAGCAGCCTGTTTGTAAACATCTAACCTTCCTCTTTCCCACCTCCCTCTTCCCACCCTAAATAGCCTCCTGCCAATTGAAAAGAGAGGGTTTTTTATAGAAAGTTTGGTAGAGCTCTGTCAACACATTGTCACTTTGAGCTCAGGAAGACCAGAACTGAGCAGAGGCACACTCCCACACTGGAAGGTTATCCCAAGGCTAACTTGCATAGCCCTGCTCACTGGAGCAAGTAGGAAGAAAAAGTCATTGTAAAAGTCCTCTTCCACTGTAAGGGGGAAAGTGTACTTTGGGAACACGCAACGAATGATATACAGATTAAATCTGGCCCAGTTGGCTTGCCAGTCATATCTGCATGTATAAACAACTTTGTAGAATCATAGGCTTGGAAGGGACCATGAGGGTCATCTAGTCCATCCCTCTGCAATGCATGAATCTTTTGCTCAATGTGGGGCTCAAAACTACGACCCTGAGTTAAGAGTCTCATGCTCTACTGACTGAGCTATCCCAGGATAGTTCCTCATAACTTATCTCTCCTTTCTTAAGCCAAATAGAGGTGCATTGGGTTAAGAATCAATGACCATGTTTTCTGTATTTGAAGGCTCCTTCTCCCAGGAAAAGTGGCATAGATAAATCTAGAAGTTAAGTAGTAGGTCCCCTGTGAGCTGTGAAGAGTACCTTTGCCAACAAATACTGCTTTCTGCCTTTTGGTGGAAGGGATAATGGAATTATGAAAAGTGAGGGTTTAAAAGAGCAAAGATATCTCTCAAACATTAACTTTTTGACTTCTTGTTTCCAGTTTTAACATAAATGCTAACATTCACAGGCTTTGACCTGTCCAATTTACCCTTTTCTCCATCCCTAAGCCATGGTACTTGATTTTTAAAACTACGGTACTCTTGTATTAAAGGTAAAGGTACCCCTGCCCGTACGGGCCAGTCTTGCCAGACTCTAGGGTTGTGCGCTCATCTCACTCTATAGGCCGGGAGCCAGCGCTGTCCGCAGACACTTCCGGGTCACGTGGCTAGCGTGACAAGCTGCATCTGGCGAGCCAGCGCAGCACACGGAACACCGTTTACCTTCCCGCTGGTAAGCGGTCCCTATTTATCTACTTGCACCCGAAGGTGCTTTCGAACTGCTAGGTTGGCAGGAGCAGGGACCGAGCAACGGGAGCTCACCCCGCCACGGGGATTCGAACCGCCGACCTTTCGATCGGCAAGTCCTAGGCGCTGAGGCTTTAACCCACAGCGCCACCCGTGTCCCTTGTATTAACTGGGCTCAAAAGCTTCCTGGCAATTATATGTGGACCAAATAGTACTTGTCTTACCTGAACCTCTTGACACCTACTCCTGTACGTGGCTCCTACCCTACTTGGCTTTCTTCTCTCATGCCTGACATTCCAGGGCCCTGTTGTGTAGTAAATGTTTCCTGGCTGTTTCCTACCAGAAGGTATTGACATAGAATTAGTTTTGCCTGCAGAAATGCAATGGGATGTCACATAAATGCTTTTGCCTAACGTTCCTGTTGTGATATTAATTCTACTCTCACCCATCAGAAATAGATTGCAACCATCTTCCTGTTTTATATGTACTATATCTGCTATTCACAATGCACATCCAGCAAGTCAATAAAAAACAACAAGTTCTCAACTGTTACCTTTCTGGATAATTTGTTTCATAACAGTAAGAGGTAGTGAAAGGACAGAAAAAAACTGAGGAAGGTTTGAGCATATGCATGGAAGGCAGGGGGAAAGAGAGAGAGAGATTTTTAGAGCAGAACTAGATGTTAAGACAGAAAACTAGAGCCCCACGTTGAGTTTCTCCCCACCCCCTCAGTAACGCGTAGTGAAAATTAGCCATGGCCAGACATCTTGCTGCCCTGTCCTTCTCATTATTGTCCGCTGCTGGGAGGGAAATGAAAGCATGATTTTGCTGGGACAAACTTAAGTTCTATTGACTACATTTCCCCTGGACAAGAGCCTTGCTTTTATTTGTAATTTTGAAAATTTATATTTTTTTATATTGGAAGCAGGATTTTGCAAGATGCACTGTACTGCTGTGCTGTAGTAGCATACGTCATCTCTTGCAAAACTTAGCTTCACAATATTGTTTAAAAGACCCAGAGGGTTGAAAACAATACTTTGCAGCATTTTACAGGAAACAGATTTAAGCAAGAACAAACAAGGTGGTGAATAATATTGTGTGTGTGTGTGTGTGTGTGTGTGTGTGTGTGTGTAAAAGGGAAGAGGTCCTGGCTCAGTAACGGAGCATCTGCCTTGTATACAAAACATCTCAGCTTCAATCCCCAAAGGCACCTCCAGGCTGGGCCAGGGAAACCCCTGCCTGAAACCCTGGAGAGGCGCTGCCAGTCAGAGTGGACGGCCTTGAGCTAGATCCATCAGTGTTAGGCAACTGACCTGGTGCAAGGCAGCTCCCTGTGTTCCCACTTGAAAGCTGTGGAAAATTTGTGGATCTTGACAGCTCTGCAAGGCTGGAGGTTGTGTTTTTGCTGCAACAGGCTAATGTGGCTGTCCTTTTGGAAAATGTCACATCGATGGAGCCATATAAATTAGCAGTGTTCTTATTAATCATCCTCACCGGTATTGGGTTTCTTTAAAATCACTCCCTCCTTCCCCTTCAGAAATCTGTGTCTTTTGGGGTGTATATTTTATCTGTAAGCCACCTTGAAACCTTGTGAGGAAGAAAGGTGGGGTACAAATAAATATATTTTTTAATAATAATAATAATAAATATAATAAATATAAAGGAGCAGAGAAACACCATGCCTATCTTTTTGTTTTTCTCCTTTATTGCTATTATTATTATTATTATTATACATTTTTCAGAGAGCGCTTGGCCCCCTTGGAAAAAAATGACCCCTTATCGCCCATCCACGATCCGTTTGAAGGCACTTGAATGGGGCTCTGTCTTCCTCCGAGGAGAGAAAGCAACACCTGTAAGTATCATGCAAGCGACCATTAATTCCTAAACTTCCCGACCCTCCCTCACCTCACGCAGATTTCGGAGGGCGGGAGGATTAGGGAGGTTCCTACAAATTAAATCTGCCGAAGCTGCATTCTCACTGGCCCACACACACGTCAATCAGGCCCTCCGTCGTTGACCGTTATAAAGGGGAAAGCACGAGGGGACCAGGAAAGAGCGTTGGCCGCCAAAAGAGGGGAGGGGCAAAAGGCTTCCGTAGGGCAGACGGCGGGACCTGGTAATAGAATATGGGGCGTGGCTCCCGGAGGATCTAGCCAAACAGAAGGCAGGAGGGGCGCAGTTTTGAGAAGCCGATCCAAAGCGTATCCCATATAGCACAGCCCACTCCCACCCCGCCTGCTGCTCAGCCTATCATATCAGAGGAAGAGCGTTCTGTGAAAGAACCGGCCAATTAGAACTACGGCGCGCCGAATCGGTTGCCCGGAGAGACCAATCAACGTTAGCTGCCCTTCGCTCTGTCGGACATAATGGCGCGCAAGGAATTTCAAACGTTCGAGGGGGAGGGGCGGGCTTATAAGGGGGAGGAGCGGGCGGAGGATGAATAGCCTGCTGATGGCGGCGGGCGGCGCCTGGCGCGGCTGGCCCGCGAAGTGTCACTGCTTGACGCCGGCCGCGCGGAGCGGCGCCTGGGAAGGCCGCGTGCGAAGAAGCGGGAGGCGCCCCGCCCTCCCGCCTGAGGCGGAAATCCCCCGCGTCGGCCTCTGCCGGGTGTCGGAGGAGTGATCTTCGCGCCCAGCCGCGCTGCCGCTCTGCTATTGGAGGACGCTGAGGCGGAGGCCACGCCCCTTGCCCGCGAGGTGAGGCCGCAGGTGAGTTTGCGCGCCTTCCTCTGAGGGGGAAGCGCTGGCGGGGCTGCGCGCGTCGAGCCCGGCCTCGGCCCCGCGGGAGCGGCGTCCTTTCGCCTCGGCCCGCGTTCAAATCCGAAAGTGACAGCCGCGTGCCTTTTCATTAGCGCCTCTGGAACCCGAGGGCGTTATAACACGGGGCTGGGTGTGGGGGGGTTTGTGGGGAGGGGAAGCGGCGTTATTCTCAAAACGGATTCGCGCCAACGATATTCCTTACTCGAGCTTGCAAAGCAGCTTTCTCGGCACTCTTCTGGCTTGTTGCCAGTCACGCAGGAGGCTGGTGTTTCCCACCTTCTTTTGAGATGCGTGAAAAAGCGAAATAAGCGGTCACATAGAAGACGGGAAGGGGGAAGTAAACCCTTCAGAAATCCACAGCAGGGCAGTACCTTTTTTATTGGGACCAACCAAAATGTCGCAGAACAGTGAGGTTTTGAGATCTCGGAAACTGGCAAGGTGTCACACCAAGCAGCGGGTGGGGGAGAAAGTGTGGGGTTTTGTGTCCGATTTGATTCTGTGGCTGGAAGCACAGCTAAAGGTGGGTACCGTGTTCCATTACTTAATACAGAATGTGAAGCAACAATCTTCTGCTCTATGAAGATGTGAAGTCAAGTTACACATTCCTAGACTGCTTATCTGGATTAGTTACTTTGGCCACTGCCCTAGCATGTGTTCATGGGTAAAATGGGATTAATGGCAGGAGGTGGTCATTCTTCTGGAGTGCAAGGATGGTAGGTATGCGTGTGTTTCTCCAAGACAGGATATTACAGCACTTTTCTGCAACTGTTCTTACTGTTTATGGGAGCATTCCTTTGATACTTGTGGTATCTTGATTGCCGCAGTTTTGACTCCTGTTGCTTACTGCCTTTTTAAACTTTGGGTTTCAGCTGTTTGACTGTGTCCTCCTTCTCACCTGCTCATACATTCAGCTCTAGCCTAGTTCTCTTTAAAATGGCCAGTTTGCCTCAGGGCTATACCAACTGAACCTCCAGGTGAAAGCCTGTGTGATGTAGTGCTCTTTCATACAGTCCATTGTGAGCCCTCGCCTGTGGTCTTAAATTGGTACAGCCCTGGCAAATCCATTTCACTTTGGCGGCAAGTAGGCCTCTGCACTTATTACAGTACTAACATTGCCCTGCACTCAGTCATTGACAGACTCATAAAGGTAGCGCTGTAGTCTGTAACTCTCATTGCACTGGTGTGGAGGGAAGTCAAGTGGTGGTTGATCAGCTTATGTGTCATCAAAGCAGAAGTCTCTCAAGCCTTTCTGAAGACTGTTGCGAAAGCAGAGTTTAGTTCTAGCTTTTTTAGCTATATCCTCATTTCCTCTAGTACCCACCGTAGGAACTGTGGTAATCTTACTAGACTTAAGGTATCATAAGGCTCTTTGTTTTCTTAGCAAAATGATCTGGAGAAGATACAACTTGCTTCATTTTCTGTGATTGCAAACTGCAGTATAGTATTTGGTTCCATGGGTACTCCTGGAGCGGGACGGCTGCAAATAAGGTGTTCTGGGTTGTAAAGGGAAGCCTGGCACCCTTCTCCACCTTTGCTATCCAGTACTTCTCCAGCTAGTAACATCTATTTTCTGGGGTGTTAGGGAAGGCAGAGGCACACTCCATTGTCTCAAGATAGACTGGTGCAAATAACATTTACTTTCTAGGCAAGTAACTATTTACAAGTCTGTGGTGGACCATTCTTTGATGGAGTTGTTTTGTTACATCCTTTAAAATGCTTGTTAATGTTAAGGAGTGGATGACAACATTTTGTTATATTTTGTAATGGGGAGCAATGGAAATCAAGGCACATATCTTCTAGGTCAGCATATAGCTTGGTTTTGGATGTCTGGCCAATCAAAAAACATTTTTCGCCAAATGCCTGGTAGTAGAAGATACATTGATCCTGAAGGAATTTTCCTAAGTGGAGGCTCATCCGTTGTACTCTGGGTGTGCTGATCCCTGCAATTTCCCTAAATGTAAACCTGACTGTGTAATTTGTGGTAATTGTCAAAGTATTAACAGCAAACAAAAAAGCAAGTTATAACAAAAAGCAAGTTATAGCTGTTGTGAACAGTGACATGAACTCTAATCTGATACTCCACCCATTAGACAGTGATATTTTATTCTGATTACTGCTTGTGTTATTTTTTTAGAGAAGCTTGCGGTTATAATGGTTAGCCAGTGTGAGAAGCTTTGTTCTGCGGCTGCTTGCCCCCTCCCTATTACAAGGAAAGCAAACCTCACTCCTGACCTTCCTAAGCATGGCTGCATGCTTTCTCTGTATCCCCACCACTACCACCACCAAAAATGCTTATATTTTCCATATTCCTTATGGAAGCTTGCATATTCCTAAATGATACTTCCATGCACAGAGGCGGTACTGGATGCTGCGTAAAGAATGACAGTTGCCTTCACTCTGGGGTTCTGAGTATCTGAAAGGCATCTCCCCAGTTTCCAGACATCCCTTGGTCTTTTCCTGTAAGTCAGTTCTTCTCATAGGGAAGATGCCACTTCTATCTAAATTATAAAACATAAAACAATGTTGTCCCCTATATCCCTAAAAAGCAACTCCTTCCATGTGTCATGTTGTAGTCAGTACAGTCTGTCAGTAGCAGCCTCTCTTAGTATGCTTCAAGGAGCATGTTCCATAGGCAAGGTTTTGCATGGAGGTGTTTTCACTGGATGCTCTTTTGAGTTCCAGAGGGTCTATCAAAGCCAAGGTCTCCTCTAGAAGCAATACATTTATATTCAGCCACATATATTGTGAGCAGGGGAGCTCTCATTAAACGTAATTTGAGGGCAGGTTGAATTTGCCTCTCCCGGTGGTACTATTATCTTTCCATCTGATTCCCTCTTGGTCATTAATTATGCCATGCTGAAGTCCTTGGAGAAAGAAAGAGTGGGATACAATTGCTGGGCTGAGGACTGTGATGTTTCTGACCAAATAGGCACCAATGTTTGGCACAGTAATGGTCTAGCTGCGACTGTTGCAGGATGAATCATACATATTAATTGATTTTTAAGTAGTTGTGCCTGCATGCTGAGATAGTAGATTAAAACTCCCAGTAAATATTTTATAGGAGGGACACGGGTGGCGCTGTGGGTTAAACCACAGAACCTAGGACTTGCCGATCAGAAGGTCAGCGGTTCGAATCCCCACAACAGGGTAAGCTCCCGTCGCTCGGTCCCTGCTCCTGCCAACCTAGCAGTTCGAAAGCACGTCAAAGTACAAGTAGATAAATAGGCACCGCTCCGGCGGGAAGGTAAACAGCATTTCCGTGCGCTGCTCTGGTTCGCCAGAAGCAGCTTAGTCATGCTGGCCACATGACCCGGAAGCTGTACGGGCCAATAAAGCGAGATGAGCGCCGCAACCCCAGAGTCGGCCACGACTGGACCTAATGGTCAGGGGTCCCTTTACCTTAAATATTTTATGCCTTGGTGTCTGGGGTTCAAAGTTCAAAATGTGTTGGGGTGCAGTAATCAGATTAGTGGAGGCTAGTACTCTGATTTTGTATCTTTATTTGCTGTTTGTGTTTTCTCAAGCTCCTGGCTAACTCCTAGCTAATGCACATCTGAGCCATCTTTGGCCTGTTTTGTCCATGGTGGGGGTTAGGTCAAGTTAGACTTGTAAATGTTACTGTATGAAGCCACAAATTAAACCTTACTTGTGCAGTTGCCTTACCGCATACATGTCTATTCAGTTAATTGCCTATAACTGTTTTAGAGGTTTTACTACAACCAAGCGGCATATCTTGTTAAATAAAAATGAGTAAAATATGTCTCTTTCTTTAGTATAGGTCAAAGTGATCAATAGATTAGACTTGCCTGGAGATGTTATTCATCCATGCTGAGAGGTGGCCTAAGAACACCCCAGATTTTAGTTGGAGCACCAGTGACATATTTGAGTTTTGAATGAGCAGGGGAGATGAAATCTGGGTGTGCAAGGGATCTCCATAATGGGATTTAAAAGGGGATTGACTGGCAGCTCTGTCTATTGGATAGAGAAGCCTGATAGTTTTATCTTCTGTGCTTCCACCTATGCTTTCCTGCCTCCTAGCAAATATTTATCTGTCATTGGCCAGGGGCAGCATGCCAGCAGCCTCCATGGCCCAAGATCCAGAAAAGCTTCAAGCAGAGGTGGAGCGACTGGTGGCTGAGCTGCAGGAGGCAACCCGAGAAAAAGTCCAGGCTGCACAGTATGGACTGGCTGTGCTGGAGGAAAATGGCGAGCTCAAGCAGCGCTGTGGTGAGCTGGAAGGCCAGTTGGAGGTGCTACGCATGGAGCTGGTCCACATGAAGGAGGTGAGTGAAAGTTTCCCCTGTTCTGCCTTGGGCAAGGATGCCCTTAGCATGTTTCCAGCTTGGGCAATGTGCTCTTAACCATAATCTTCCTCCTTCTATCTTGCCTAGGCTTTAGCAGAGTCCCACAGCAGTCACAAACGGGCAGCAGCTGACGGCGAGAGCCGAGAAGAATGTCTGCTCAGAGAAACTGCTTCCAAAGAAGCCTGCCTGACTCAGACCATTGAGGAGCTTCAGAACAATGTGAAGCATCTGAGATCCCAGTTGGACAACAATGGGGTAGAAAATGAGCGTATTAGTGTGGCTCT